GATCTTGAACATCCCCCAAAAGCCAATATGCTAAATGTTTGTTCCCCAGAGTGCCACTATTGGGAGGAAGTGGAAGTTTTAAGAGGTGGAGCCAAGGGAGTGGTCTTAGGTCACTGGAGGTCATGCCCTTGAAGGAGATTGTGCGACCCCAACCTTCCTGTCGTTTGTATCCCAGCCAGGCGGTGAGAGGTTTTGCCAGCTTCTCCCACCACAGTATGCTGCTTTACTATACATCCCAGCAACAAGACCAGCCCACCATGGACTGAAATCTCCAAAACTGTGAGCCAAAATAAACCTTCCCTCTTTTTAAGGTTACTTCTCCCAGGCACTTGTTACAGTAGTGGAAAGCTAACACACCGATCATGGTCTGCTTACTTTAGATGCCCTGGCCCTGAGGTAAGAAGATGAAGAGAACAACATTGGCTGTTTGATAGGAATCCTCAGGGTGAAGCAGTGCTCTCTCTCTCACCCCACAAGTTATCTACGTAAGTGAGTAAGGGGCAGAAGCGGTGAAGGCCAGGCAGGGAGAGGGCTAAAAGATTTTCCTGAGCCAGCTACCTTCCCAGGAGTCAGAAGTACAAGCCCTGCCCGTCCCAGGTCTTCTGTGTGCTGCCATGGGACTGAAGACAGAAGCAGCCCAGGCGGGTAGATCTAAGGGAAGCAACTGGCACTTCAGGAAGTCAGAGCTGGGTCTTTTGCTTCCACGTTGTACACTAACAGCCAGATGTTTCTCTGGGCATGGTTTGTGAGTAAAGTAGCTTTTTAAAACACTTAGACAGGCTTTTGTCACTTGGTTTAACTGTGTACATCACAACTACTTTAATTGGTTTCATGTCTGCAATGAGGGACCGAAATGGAAGTGTGGCTCTCCAGGGAACAGTCCTGGCACTCAGATGGCTTGTCATATTTCTTTTTTAATCTGCTGTTCTTTTCCTTAAGGCGAAGGAGGTAATCTAATTATCTTTTGAAGACAAGCTCAACTTGAAATATGCAGACTTGGGCTGCTCTTAGAATGTGGCCCCATGAGTGAGTGAAGAGAAATGTGGGGGTGTGAGGCGTACCGGTGAGACTTCCTGCTCAGCAGTCAGTTGACTGTCTCCCCAGTTGATTATTTACTGTGCCTGAGAGCACAGTACAATAGGTTAAATGGGTGCTGGTGGCTGGGCATGGTGGCAGACACCTGTAATCCCAGCACTGGGGAGGTAAAGCAGGAGGATTGAGAGTTGGAGGCCAGCCTGGATTACATAGTGAGATCTTGTTTCAAAAAGAAAACAAAAAAAGGTGCTGGTGTCAGAGGAAACAGTCCAAGCCTTGTTCTGGCTGTGTGACACTGCATCACTTCCCTGTGTTCTCTGAGCCTCAGATCCTGCAGGTGCAAAATGAGAGTTGTGGTGAGGACTGTGCATGGTGCCCATCCATCCGGGACTTGGCACATGATGAACACTCAATAGCCAACACCTGTTAGAACCACAGCCCTGTCAGGACACTGTCTACAAGGCAGGGTTAATCTTGACTCCATTTCCCTTGGGCTTGACAAGCCCCAGCTAGAAATGACTCACCCTATGTTGCCAGCCACAGGGTGAGGGGTTCAAACCCTCCTATGCACACAGCATACAAGGGGTGCCTTTCCCCAAAATTGAGGGAGCTAACCTTGCAAGTGGTGCTTGTGAGGCAGCCACTCACTCACTGCATGGGACTCTGTGGGCTGCAGGGGAGAGCTCTAGCCCAGGGAAGGCAGCAAGCCAGGGCCATGCCACCTCTGTCCTCCACAGAGCAGGGCTTGGAAGCTGTGCTGGGTCCCAGAAGTTGTATAGTTCACCCTTCCTTTGCTTTTTACTCTCTAAAAAACTGGTGCTACAAATACCAGATTACAGGAAAAACTGTTTATCTAGGGAATATTCTTCATCTATTTATCATCCTCCAATAATCTATTTATCATCTATCAATATCTATCATCTATCTATATCTACTTATCTATTACCTATCAGTATCTATTCATCTATCATCTCTATATGATTACCATTTTCTTAGTGTCTTCCATCTATCATCCATGGATACCTATTTCTATCATCTAGTCACAATCTACTATCTATTGATATGATTCTCCTATCTATACTATCCTATCAGTGTCTATCTATCCATCTATCATATCTAACTAGCTAGTTATCACGTCTTCCTAAATTGCATATAAATAGGCCCATAATTTTCTTTGCCCAGTACCTTGCTTTTTCACTGAATAACTACAACCACCTGCATTTTCGTGGGTGTAAGTGTACAGCTACGTTTTTAACAGTTCCATTCCTTCAGTGCACCCTAAGTTCTTCAATTAGTTTACAGTCAGTGAACGTTCAGATCATTTCAAGTACTTTGCTCTTACAAATTATCTCATGAAGGAAATTCTTTTGCGTGGATCAATTCTGTGTAAGAATGTAGGATAAATTTTTTGCAGTGGACTTGTTGGCTCCTGGGGGGGTGTGGATTTTAAAGAAACAACAGTTTCTTTAAAAGAGTATGCCTAAAGCATTCTCTGGTCAAATACTTGCCTTATCTTTTAAACATGGTGACTTCTCAGTCTGCCAGCCTGAGTGAGGATAAAACCTCTCCCGCAGCCGGCACTGCTGGTTTATGTGACTTTTATGGCTGCTCCTGCTCGTATCTTCCACACCACTGTTTTCCTTTATGCTTTATTTATTTCACCAAACACAAGCAGTCTTGTATCTTGTTTCTGTCACAGTTTTTATTCACTTTCTTGGCATTTCTCTTAGGGTTTTATTAGACAGTTTTTGTTCCAGCTCCTAAAATTTCTATCCCCTGCATCTTGGGGACTCAGTGGCATTCAGAAGATGATTTGAATATGAGCCAATGGTGCCATGGGAAGATCCTCAGTGTCTCCAGGGAACTCACTGTACCTGTTCTCCCCTCTTTTCTGCTTGAAGTTTCTGGAAATGCCCTCTCCTTGCTCACCCCCAACGACCCAGCCCACTTGAGTTGACCAGTTGGGGTTCATTTCTGAACTTGGGGACTTCTGCAAAGGCTGCCATGAGAAGCTCAGACCCAAGAGCACTATCACACCTCTGAAACCCCAGGTTTGGCCCAATGCTCACAAACCAACCTGGGAATTCCGAGAGGTTTGCCCCAAACCGTTCTAAATGTGGCCATCTAAAAGCAGACTCAGGAGCAAGGCAGTGAGAAAGGCCGTTTGAATGGAAAATCACAAAGAGAATAACAACAAAGAAATCCATGGGATGGGCCACATTTTGCTTTCAGGAGAACTGTAAGTCACACCCTGAAGCAAACAAGTGGTGAAATTAATTACTACGTTTTGTGTTTGAATATTTTGCCTTACAAAGTCCTGAAGGTGAAAAGGATGCCAGAGGCAGCCACTCCCTCAAGAAAACAAGGAAGTCCTGTTTTGGGCAGTCACTGCCATGAAATGAATTCAGCGGGAAATCTGGCTTCCTATGACCTTATGTAAGTTTTCTTGGTTAGGCAAGTTAGATGCTAGAAATAAGAAAAAAAAAAGACCCTATTCTAAGTCTTTGTCTTTTGTCAAAATACCATGTGCAACTCTATACAAACCCTTCAATGCAAATATGACTGTAACTAGAGAACCCACCCACCCTCTTTTCTAATTATAGACAGAAAATAAATGGCAGATGTGGCCCCTACACTAAGCCTGGTTCCTTTTAGTACTCATGAGTAAGACATTAGATTTAATCTTGTGTGGCTTTAGACCAGGGGTTGACTGTGCCCCTGCCCAGGAATAGCTAGCATTGTCTGGGGATATTTGGAGAACTGAAGAAGGGGGGTGTCCCTAGGGCTGTTGCTAAACATTGACAATGTCCAGGACTTGACAGACACCCTTCCTCTGACAATCAGTTATTGGGCCCCAAATGCCTACAGTGTCCAGGTTGAGCCACCATGACCTAAAGCCTTTGTGAGAGCCACACTCAGTCCCTTGTGATCAGCTGTACCAAATTCCAACATCTTAACACTGGGGACAAAGCTTTATAGACTGGAAGACTGTTTTTCCTGTGAAGTAGGATAAAAGATAAAGATGCCACAATTTTTTTTTTTAAAAAAAGAAAACAATGTTTATTAGGATATTCTAGGGTAGAGGTGGCTGAAGGGACTACGTACACTCTGTCAGGCTTGAGTAACAGGCTAACAGAAAATTCAAACATCACAAAACCATTTTCAAAGTCCAAACAGCAAGTCTTGTACTTCCACTGTAGTTGTTCTTCTGTGCCTGGTGCTATCAGCTGTGGGAGGAAGAAGTGAAGGTGAATGTGGTGTCCCCAGGGGATCAGATTCACAACATGAGAAAAACACATCATCTTCTACACGTGGAAAACTCTAGAAACATACAAGATAACATGGAGACCCAAGGAAAGTGGCCTCTCCTAACCCAAGGCTTCTCAACAAAGCCCATTCTATCTGTCACCCCCGTTCTGAGGAGGCTGCGGTCTGAACACCTTGCTTGGGACAGAATTCTAACAAATAACCCTCAAATCAGAAGCCTTCTCCTGTTCTATATTGTTAACCTGCCTGAAACAGAACAAACAGCAGCTGAGACATACCCTCGGGTTAAGAGTAAAAAATGCTACAGCATCCAAAAGTACAAGAGAAAAATCCCACATCCTAAGACTCACACAGCTTCTCAGCAGGAGTTGGATTACACAGAGAAAATAATTTCAATATCAAGGGATAATGCACACAGGATGGGGAAACTCTTTCAAGCAAACGCCATAGTGAGAAGTGTTTTTCCTACTCCCTTGGGTGAGGGAAAGAAGAAGAAGAGAAAAGAAAGATAATTAGGAGAACTATAAGGCTCTGGATTTCAGGTTTCTGAAACCATTTCTTCAACTCTCGGAGGACGATCAGCTATTTCTGAATCCAGAAAAGCACAGCAGAAGTGGCTGATTACAGCAAGACCCAGCCAAAGAAGGCTGGGTAATCTGTGATTTGGTTCTATGATTTCCATTCTCTCTCTCTCTATCTTTTTTTTTTTTTCCCACTTTGCAGAAATGCCTTCAGCTAAAGCTAAACAATCAAACCCCAAATTCCAGATCCAGCATGCTTTGCACGCCAGGCAGATAATGCTGGATCACACTACCCTGTGGCAGTTGTGACAGAGAGAGAGGAGAAAGAGCGAATTTTATAAAATACCATGGCAAACCTCTTTGAACAAGGAGCAAACACTTAAGCAATGAAGGACAGGAATGTGAAACAGGTCATGGTGAGGGAGGGTACCAGTGGGACAGGAAGGATACGTGAAGAGAGTAGACTGAGTATGGGTGGTGCCCTTTCTCTCGTGTATGAAGATGGAACAGTGAAACCTGTCAGTCATTTTAAGAAGCGGGGAGGGGAATGAGGGAGAATAATGGTGAAGATGAAACCAATCCTGGTACATTATACCCATACATGGAAATGTCACAACAAAACCCCCTGTACAAAATTGTGTACTAATAAAAAAAGGTTAAAATAAATTTTCTCATGGGGAAAAAAAAAAGAAAGAGCGAATTTTATTGACGGTGCCTTATGTGACAGTATGCTAGAAAGCCCAGAGTACCTTCACCTGTTCCTGCAACAGTCACCCTGGCCTGACCTCTAGTGACTGACCTTTTTGACTTCTAAACACCCTGGATTTCCAATGCACCCATTGGATTTCCTAATTCTTCATCCCACATTACTCTCGTCTTAGAATTTCTGTGACGTCTGGTGGGCATCAGTGGTCCTTGTGCACAGAGTTTTGCTCTTTAAATGAGCCTTGCTATCTGCTCTCCTTGGCTAAAGCAGCTCTGGTGTCCCCCATTTCCACCTATACTGTGGCTGGGCCCTAACAGCTGTCACAGTCCCACTGGTGTGCCTATGCAGCTCCTGGGCATCTGGTGCAGGCCGGGTGGTGGAGCTGCATTCTCCCTCACAGGTGAGCTGGCTCTGCTGTTTTACCCATGGGAACTGGGACTGACCTCTGGAGAATGATCTGGAAAACAGGTTCGTGAACTATTATAAAGAGAATGTCAAACTGATGGATTCTGCCAATTTGGAAAAGATGGGGGGTGAGCCCAAGATTTTTTAGAATTATCTTAAGATATGTATGGGGAAAGCTTCAGTTACAAATGATGGTTCATCTAGCCAGAGAACTTGATCAACAAATGTGCTGAACTGATACACACTGGACTTTGCTGCTCAGGATGTCATCCCTGGGAGTGGTCTGGGACTGGTAGAGTGGTCCAGCTTTCTAGCTAGCACCCAATGCTTGAGGCAGATTAATATCTCTGCAGACTCACTGGTCTGCCAGATATGGTGAGCTGCTAGGACACTCAGCTCCTCCAAGGTCAAGAGCTAACTTTTCATCTCTTAGTAGGGAACACGATGGGCAGACTTAACATTGCTACAATTGGACCTCTTTTCCCAGGTCAACTTCAATATCTCAGGAGGACAAACTCAGTGTCAAAACAGCTCAATGTCAGCATAACTATGCAAATGACTGGTTCTCACCACTGTGTGACAGAATGAAGCCCTTCTATGTCCTAACATTTTTTATGCAACCACTATTTTTAAAATACCTGCTATGGGTCATGCTTTCTGCAAGGGAAGACTGGTGAGTAGGGAGAGGTGTCAGGACTGAGGAAGAGGATGTGGTCTCTGGCCTGTGAAGAAGAGAAGAAAATCAGAGAAAACCTTCTATTGATGCTGGTGCTGGGCTTGGCAGCTGCCCTTGAGCAAAAATAAACTCCCTGTGGCAGTGGGACAAGATGCTGATATTGGCACCTGCCATAGGCAGACAGCCGAAGTCGCAGCTGCGCTGGTCAAATGAGCTTGGAGACCTTAGGGGGCTGAGGCCTCAATGACTATTAGCAGGCTGCGGTGCTCTGCAGGCAGTTTATTGAAATAGGGTTTGTGCGCCTTCCCCACCCCTCTGAGTTGGGTCTCAGAATAATCACAAGTGCAGGTGGCTCATTCCACTGAACAGCCACCCCTTCCCCAAGCTGCCCCTGGGAGGGAGGAGAGGCTCATCAGAGAGCACTCGGTGCAAAAAAGTGATTCCTGGGAATATGCAGCAGATAGGCCTACCCAAAGAAAAGATGAGGGAGCTCAGGGGAGGGTTAGGGAGAGAAACTTCCAACTTGAGAATCAGCACCATCTTTAGCTAGCTGGCTACTGAGGAGTCTTCTCTTTCACAAAATAAGCATCTGAAAGAACATGAATGAATTGGGGTAGAACTATATTTAGAGTGATTAGGTGAAGCATGCATGGGAAAGGAACTTGTTAAATACTTAGACAATAAAGAATAGGGGTGGAGGTTTCAGCATCAATAATCGTGCAAAAGGGCACTGAGCTAGCCAATGTCTTGACAGCTGTCCTGGGAAAATGAAATATCCTACAGAGTATATGCCACTGTAGAAACAAAACCGCTACAGATTTAAGGCCTCTGCATTGAGGATAATTTTCAGAAGTATAGTTCTCATGAAGAATCCTAGACAAGAGACTAAAAACAAATGGTCACTGAGGAGAAAAGCTGTATCAAAGTCAAGAGGTGTCAAAAATATACATGAGATTCCTATCTCAGGATTAAGAGAAAAGTGTAACTTCTAAAAGTATCCAATCAAATTCCCAGCCATTTTATTTCAGAATTTCTAAAAAGGAAGTCCTTCCTCAGCCATCCAGGTATTAGCTCCTTTATGTAAAGGAATCACCCTCTACTTCAGGGAACTTTGGCTGTTTTGTTAAAAGGCCCCTGTTCTATCAGTAAGAAGTATTGGCAGACTTATATGCTCACTAGCCAGGGCACATGGTCTCTTGTTGCACCTTGGTTTGCTTTATCTTTCCAAACTCTCTCCAAGTTCACTCCAGATGGGCCTTCTGCTGTCATGGTTCCTGGGCCAGTAGTAATTCACTCCCATCTGTTGCCATTGCTTATAGTCTTTCTTGCAAAGATGGGCCTCCCATAATCTCATTTGCTTCAGGGAAGAGCAGAAGCAAAAGCCACAGAGATCATGAGGTATGAATCTAGGAGACCAAGAACAGCATCAAAAGAGAACTAGAAAATGTGTATTCAGTTAAGCATCCCATTACCGGTCCACAGTTTAAGGACTCAAACAAATCGTGCATGTCTAACTACATGAATGAAAACTTATTTTCCAAAAGACAGCTCCTCTGAGGCCACTATTGGTAAATAACTGAAATACACTCATGTTGGCTTCTAAAGAAAAAGAATTTGCTAATTATATAAACCCCCACTGCACTTACATCTCTTTTCCCAAGCACTTTACCCTGGCTCAAAAGTGCTCCTGCTCTTCCGCTTTTCTACTTTTGCAGTTGGAGTAGTTAGGAGTGTCTGATTTAGGGAAAAGGAAGCATGTGGGAAATGGGGTGCAGCTGGGAGAGACCCTTCTTACAGATCATGGAAGATAGGGATAGCCTTAGCACAGACCAAAGCAAAGCCACTGTAGGTCAAGAGGAGCAGGTCATGCTCCGTACTGGATGAACTTGAAGTCATAATTTCTAAGACTTTTTTTTATCACAAGATAAAGAATTGTTCAAAATAAAATGAAATGGAAACTACATTCCCATCACACTCTAGATATAGTTTTCAATACTTAATGAAAAATAGCCTATGTAATTCTCAACATCTACTTTTCTGTTAGATGCTATAAGAAATCAGATATGGGAAAATAAAGATTCAATTGGCATTCTGAATCCCTCTCTGTATTTATACTTCTTTCTCCATGTGCTCTATTAAAAAGATACTCAAACATAGATTGGTCAAAGATACTCTAGCTCAAAATGGAATCAATGTGCTTCTAATCAATGTGGCAATATTGTCTCTTTTTTCTCTCTCTGAAATGAGTAGGGCAGGGCTAGACTTGATCTGAAAGTCCTGGTCTGCACAGACATAAGTTTCTGGTTTTGTGCTGTCAGAATCAACTACCATGGGTTGCTTCCTGCAAGAGATCCCACCTTAGCAGACAGTCCCTGTGTTTATGACACAAATGCAGGGACTAAAGGACAGAAGGTAGTGAATGACTCTTACTTATGAGCACTTTAAGAGGAAGTCACATGGATAAAAGATTGTGATCATTTGCCTGTTCTGGTCCTGGGGCAAATGACTTTGTTTCAGGGTCACCATGAAAAACTAGGATCATACTGAATGACAGGACCACTTGCTTGGCTTGGTTTTATAAGAGTCTCTCTAATGTACTGTCCCTGAATAAGATACTTCTTCCTGTTTTCTTAATCATTAACTTATTTCCAAATCAAGGAAATTACCAAATGGTAATTGTAGTATACTGCTATCTCTGAAAAAAAAGAGATCTTTTTGATAATAGAACTTTTCCAAATTTAATTTGCATGTTTCATATTCATGCACTCTTTACTGAAGGCTGTCCTTGCTAGCTCTGAGAACCCCCTTTGGCTCTCTGGTCATCTGAAGCTAATTAGAACTGCTGTATACTGCAGAAGTAATCAATGGCCTTCTACAGTGGATACATTGAATCAGACCCATATGTAATTAGTCCAGGGTAGATACACAGAGATACCTTAATTAAAACAAAATCTGCTCTGTAAGACATACGTTCTCATAGACGACTAGCATTGCAAATGTTTTGACACATTTAATGTGTTTATTCCATAAACTAAGAGTCTTTATGGAACTTTTTACTGATCAAATACAGTTGGGTGTTTGATGCATTTCCCATTAAAACATTTTGCAGTGAAAATGTTGGTACTGAGTATTTTACATTTGTATTTATTAACATTTGGATATAAATGTACTTCAAACACCAAAAGAGCTAAAAGACTGGTTCTTTCACTTGGATGTCACAGACTCGTCCCTCTTCCCCAGTGGTCCCATTTGATCTTCCAAGGCAAACCTCAGTGGGCAAAGGGGATACATATGGAATGTGCACCAGGGGTTTCCCCCTCCAGCCTTCTGCAGTGTGGGAAGAGGCTCACGCTCCCAGCACCCCGAGGAGGGAGAAACTCCCCGTCTTTATTCAGTTAGAAACACTGCCAATAGCATGTGATCACTGTAGTTCTCGAATCTCACAATCTAAACCAGACCTCACAAGTGCATTTTACAGTCTACTTGGATGAGAACAAAGGAAGATAATGTGCAGTGGCTTATTGTGAAAGTCCCATCCTCTTCTGTGTATCTGTGCCAACCAACTCACCTCCCCAGACCTCATGCCGACCCTCTTAATCCACAAGCTTTTTTCTTTTCAGCCAGTCAGTCACAGTATGCCATGAAGGGCACAGAGCAAGAAGCAGGCATACTCTTCACCTTCAGATCAAACTGCTCTAAACAGTATCTAATACAGCTCAGTTGGGAGTAAACACACTCCTTAAGAAAACAACTGTGTACCTGGTGGGAATCAACTTTGAAAGAGGGATAGCACATCCCTGTCCCCTGTCCCCATCAAAGCTATCTTTGTCAGATAATATGAAAACCAAGGTATTGGGTTGTGTCAACTGGGAAGGGTGCCATTACACTGCAGAACATCTACAAGTGGCTGCCAGTCCCTCACATGTATGCACGCTTGCATTTCCAAGATATGATAAAAGACAACACCTGGCTGCTCTGTTTCCTCCTGCCCAGCCACAGGAAAGTGACGCAGAGTTTTCTGCTTATGCACGAGGCTCCTTGGGATCTACGTTTGAAGAGCTGTATTTGTGAAGTTAATACTGGAGCGAACACTACTTACGAGAGGAAAACGAGCTTCACAGATTTTGTATTAAATCAGTAAAAAAATGAAGACAGTATCATTACTTGCAAAATATAGAAAGCCAATAGTTGAAATCATTGAGTAGTAAAATTTTTTCCTGCATATAACCTCATAAGTGTAAAGAACATTAGAGTGACACATCGGCTATATTTGACTCTTGTTAGGTTACGGGCTTCTCACTCAAGTAAGGCTTAAGAGAGTGTCAATCAATGAACCAGGTACTGAGAAGTTCCATACCCACTCTCCCTCTCTATTTAAAAGACAGATATTACATTTGTATGTGACATGTGTTTTTGTTGTTGTTTTGTAGGACAGCAGAGAACTGTTTACAGTTTATTAAGGTTAGTGTGGAAAACTCATAGAGAAAGGCAACCATCAGCACAAGTTTTGTTTTGTTTTTTCCCACAAAGCCCACAGGAACTTTGACTTTGTGGCAAAAAAGCTTATCATCCATTTTAGATTATAGTTTCTATCATTACAAATCGAAGCTATTACATGAGATATGGAAGCATCTTTACAAACACCAAGTCCTCTCACGAGTAAAGGCCAGAGGTAAAACCCTTAAACCCCTTCTCATCACATCATCATCAAAAACATGGCCCCAGTATGCTTTACACTCAAATTTACAAGTTGTCCCCTAAAATACAGCGTGCCCCAAAGCCTTTTGAGTCTGGAATGTAGACCTGCATTAGGTTTTCCACAGAAGCCCCTAAGGATCACAAAAAGCTTTCTTAGAAATGAAAAAAGTTCCAGTTGGATGAAACTGTTTCTCAACTGAGCTCCTAAAACTGGATTTTCAAATATACAAGAGGACAGGAAACAGATTACTTGGGTTTTGTCTTTTTACATGTCCATATTGTGTTTGGAACGCAGCTACGATGTTTCTGCCAAAGATAAAGATAACAGGGTGGACAGAGTGGTTACCACCAGAACCAGCAGTGGACTCAAACCGCAGCTTGGAGGAACAGCCATTGACTTTGTGGTTATGTGGCTGGAAGCACCAGCGAGACCATCCTTTTCGTAATCACGCTGCAAGAAAAAGTGTTTTCATTATCACCCCCTGCCCGTATCTACTCGATCACAATATATTTTCCCCATACACTTTCTCTCCTCCACTCCCATCTGGATGACCTCCTCACTAAAGCTGACCCAAGTCTTCACCACTGAGATTTCACCTTGCTGACTGGCAGTTCTATGGAAGGAACCATGAACATGGGTGAGACCCTGAATCCTCTGATAACCTGTCCAGCCAATGCTTACTGCTTCTCTTTCATAATGGACTATTAAAATCCACTCCTGGGGAAAACATTTAAGCTTACTTATGCCTGCCTTTCTTTCCATTTCCACAGGTCACCTAATAGCTGTGCAATATGGAATACTTCTTTAAATAACAGCACTGGCTAAGGACGAATGTTCGCTGTCTCTCCCCACCAGGGAAGGACCGCAGGAATAACAGAAATCTCTGAAAACCTGTCCAGTCAAAGAACGATGACATCATATACAGATGGGTCATGACCAGCATGAGGAACAGACAGCAGGCAGGAGCCATTCCCTGCGTCCCTAGCCATGTCCACACTGGGTTTTACAGATGAGGAGCCAGAGAAGGCAAGGAGCCTGTCCAGCTCCTCATTGGGATAGTCCAATATCGAGAATCTGGGCTGCAGGGTCTCCAGCCAGTACAGCTGTCCTTGCCCAGGACAGATTTCTCCATCCTGTCACCAAATATGTTGGTACCACATCCCCACACAGTGGAAGAGGACTGTCATATGATACAATTCTCATCTCCTCACTTGTGAACTGGGGAGAGTGTGGGACTTGTCTATCCACCTGTGGGTCACTGTGGAGGTCAGAGGAGCTACAGATAGGGGACATGCAGTGAGCAAGTGCCGCTGTGCACCTTCTCTGTGCTGGATGATTTTCCATGATTGCTCACAGAGTCTCACAGCATTACAGCAATGGGCTTAGTCCAAGAGCTAGCTTAGAATTTTTTCTGGTTCTGAAGCCTTATTGCTTTTGAGTCTTATTTATTATCATACCTTGCCTCAGGGCCCAAAGTCTCTATAAAGATAGGAAAACCCAAACAGTAACACTACTTACATCAGAAAGACAGAGATGTGTACTGCCCGACACATTGGATTTCAGTTTCTGTGCCTGGAGAAAGAAAAGGAAAAAGAAACCTCAAACATAATAGGGATAAGTAATTACTGATGATCATTAATCAATGATCTAGGGAAGTGTTAGCCAATAAATATGGGAGCCACAACCATGAGCCCTATCCATAATTTACAATATTCCAGTAGCTACCGAACAGATAATAGGTGAAGTCAATTTTAATAATATATTTTATTTCACCTACCATTATTATCATCTCAACATGTAATCAATATAAAAATTAATGAGATACTTTAACATTCTTTCTTTCATACTAAATCTTCAAAATCTGGTGCATTTGACATAGCATGTCTTTGTTCAGACCTGCCCCATTTCAAGGCTCAGCAGCTACCTGCCACCAGCGCTCCTACAGGGCCAGTGTAGGCAGGACCAGGCTAGGAAAGAAACAATTTTGAAATGATCAAATTTCTGAATACTAATTTGGGGGAAGTGCCTTCTTCTACTTAAAAATGTCACAATAAGAATCCCAATGGCTTAGTAAATATAGACAGAGTGTCCTGGAAGCTTGTTTGCTTGTTCATTTGTTTGTTCATTGCTCCAGGCAACAAATATTACAGAGCTCCTACTGTTTCCCGATGCTAGGTGTAGGGTAGGGAACAGAAAAGACAGACGTGGTCCCTGGCTCAAGGAGCTCTCTGCTAGTGAGGAAACTGCTCCCTGGTTGGGGGCCAAGGCATAAGGCAGAGACTCTGAGGTTGTCACCCTCAAGGAATCATGCAGGACATTACAAACCCCAATTAAGCAATTAAAAAATAGTTTCCCTGGCAATTGCAAGGGAGTTCCCCAATTCTCCTATTGCTCCTCAATTGGATTAACACTCCACTGGGCATTACTCAATCACAATGAAAACATGCGCAAATCATCCATGAGGTGCAACACTGTTGTTTCACAAAGCAAACCAATTTCAGCCCAAAGAAGTCAAGTGATTTAAGGTCACAAGGCAATTTGCTTGTAAAGCCAGGATGAACCAAGTCTTGGATGAAAATATACTCTTTCCTGCATCAAGGTGTTCCTCTCAGCTTCCACTCCCCAAATCCACACAGTGAACTCCTCCCATGAAACTCCATCTTCCCTGCTTATAATAGCAGCCCTTTGGCACCAACAAACAGAGAGCTCATCTGCCAATGTGAGCCTGGCAGGCATCACTCCCAAATCAAGGAGCATCAGACGGACTAGCTCCAAGTACCTTGTGCTGGCAGGCTGCCTGCTTGTTGCAAGACTGCAAGAGGCTAAAGACATGCTAAGCCGAAATGATAGCATGCTCACCAGAAGAGTAATTTATTGGTCATAATGCCACTTGAAAGGCATCATAATCTTTACCTATATTTGCATATGCCAGCCGTGAATCTGAAATAGAAACCTTTAAACAGGCTTCAAGAATAAGACACTGTGAAGCATCCCAGACTGTTCAAAGGTCACTAAATGTTATGTATAAGAGGATCAGAGGGGAAAACTGAAAAGGAATTGAACCTCTCTCAAAAGCCTACTTTTAATCTGTATTAACAGCAAATCTGGTACACTGCATTGTTACCTATACAGCATAATGTGAGAACTTCATGTTTTACTTCTATTCAAGATTGGAATTGTGTCGGACACTCAAATAACACTTAAACATCCATTCGGCCTTTTCTTTCCTAAGCCATAATCTACAAAAGACAAAACCTCCTGCTGAGGGCCTTTGCATAACTAATACATTCATGAAATTGCACACAGAAGGCAATAAGACCTGTACATTGGGGCAACATGCCCTCAAGTTGTTCCTGATCACAGCTAAGTTGTACCTCAATGTCAAGGCCACAGCAGCCTCTGAGGCTTTCAGGGTGGGCAGCCCTCTCTCCACCTGTTCTGTAGGATCAGCACTAGCAGGCAGTGCTTTGCTCATCACATACACAGTCTATGATTCTCACCAGTTGTATTTCCTGACACTTCAGGAAGCTCAGGCGGCACTAGGAGAACCTCACCATGATGAAATGGTTGTGAAGGGGTGTCCAACAGCTGAACAGAAAAGGCATCTTCCAGATGGTCTTATATGGCCTCAATCTGCATTGGTAGACCTCTGGCCCTTGTGAGTCACCAAGGGTCTCACAGTGCATGCAGTAGGTGACATACCCAGGTTTGAACTGCAGCGTGTGCCCTCCCTCTGGAAATGGCTGCAGTAACTTCAATTGCACAGGAAAAGGTGTTTAGACTACTTCTATGTCTGTGACATCTATGGAATGGTAACCCATCCCATTTACCTCAAATAGCCAACTTCTGGTCATTTTTCTGCAGACACTTTCGCTTAACTAGAGCTGAAGGCAGGACCCCCCCACACAGTTCACCTGGCCTGAGGACCATCCTGGTGGGTGTAACTGCATGAACTGATGAGTTCAAGGGAGAGTGTTCAGCCAGGCCCCTCTGATGTTGAAATAAAGCCCTCCTCCTGGTCACCACCGTCCTAACCATAGAAGGCTTGGCAGTCCACACCCAGGCCTTTAAATGCTGGCTCCAGAGACGACTAACAAGCTTCGTCCAGAGAGGTCTGGTTCCTGGGAAGCCACTATGACGGCACAACAGAGGCAGCAGAGCAGCCTTGGGAGTCACCCTAACCCAAAGCTATCAGGGGCCACTTAGGTCTGTGGAGCTAACTAGAAGGTGAAGGGTAACTATTACTGACTATGGGAATGGCAGGTAATACAAACGTAAGGGAATCAAAGGATTATACATAGATGCAAGATCTTTTTAAATTTCCCACTTAATGGGATTCTGTGCCCAGATTAGCAGGCAGCAGCTACAGACAAGACATCATCCAGTGCCCCTAACACTGTATGAGTGGGAGAAAGAGGGGCAGATCTGGGCTGCAGAGCTGTATATGTTGGCTGGTTGCGCATTTAGGAGCCTTGTATGTAGCATGAACCCCAGAGATCACTGAGGGTCAGAAATCTACCTCTGCAGATCATCCGGAGTCTACATAAGAAAATCTGGGTCTTAAAGCCCCACTCCAGAAGCCTGAGAAATCTGTTATTTTCACATTTTAAAGGCTTTTATCTTTAGTATTTTTGAAAATATCATCAAGTAATCACTGTCTTGCTAATCAGGTATGATAAATGCAAACAGATAAAATTATAGGGTGCCCCTCTCTTCAACTATTACAGAGCACTTACATACTTTAAATGTTGTCTCACTTGCTGAAAATTGGGATGGATCCAGGAAAATTAAAAAAAGATATTTCTGAGACTTTATAGAGAGTAAGGTAAGTTAGAAGTTGGAAGGACAGCTTTCATCACTGAGTTATAAACCAGGAAAAACCTAGGATGTGATAATGTAGCGATGACACAGGGTGCAAGGTCCTTCCTATGAGCCTGAGCCTGCTGCTGGCAGGACCTGACTTAGAGCTTAGCCAGGCTGTGCCTACCTGATGTCAAGCCTTACAATTTGGGGTTTAAAAATATGATATGTTTTTTAAAAAGAGATAAAGACAAAGAAAACAGGCTTCATTTTTCTAGGTCAACTTGAACTAAGGGACTTACACAGTCAACAACATTTTAACTTCTTTTATGAAAGGGTATGTCTTAGCAGCTAATTCATTGTTACGTGGTTTGGGGGAAGTTGTTCTGATTCTGTGTTGGGGAACCAACACTACCAAGATGTAGAACCTTGAGGTGTGCATCTTGAGAACAGAAGAAAACAGTATTGGAGAAGCCTGTACCCCCAATGGCCTTTCCCACATTCTGGAAAGTCTGTTCTTTTGACTCTTCCTAAGCTTGTCCCTCAGCAACTATTGTTCTCTCCTGTTAGAAAACTGTCACTGGTGGTAATCTGCAAGTCTAGGCACGTCACATAATAAGATTTCCAGGGCACTGTAATTGTGAGGCCAGACCTCGCCAGGCCCTGGCACCAGAGGGTTAATAAATGCATTAGATGCTGTTAACCTCTGCTACCTGGAGTCAGAATGGGGCCTCTCTGCATTTTACCCCAGCAATTAGCATTTGGAAAGCCAGTTTTGGTGCCAACAGTGTTCCTGTGTAGAACACACAGGCATACACATAATTTATAGCTCACGGTTGGGTCCCCACATGCTTCTGCTCACAGTAGGCTCTCCAGGGCTTTGGGGACAGGTCAGGCTTGTGAACAGCATGCTTGCTCTGTTTATGGAATTGGAGACTTAAAAACGCACCCATGCAGAGCCTGGCCTTTGCTGCCCCAGGACACCATTTCTATAGAGAAGTCAGTGTTTAATCTTGGGTTTTTAGGCAGCTGTCAGCCAGCAGGGCATGGAACAAATTCTCAACTCTGTACAGAAGAAAAGTCGTTCTCTGCTCTATCTCCAGAAAGTAAAACCAGAGGAAGCTGCTCAATCCAATAGCAACAGACTGTCCAGGCTGCCAGCCAAATAGTCATAATTAATGATGCTCTGGTTCTTTTGTTTTACTGATTAGAGAGATTTGCTATATTAGGAACCTGTTTGCTTAATGACAGAATACAAGCAATAAACAGAGAAATACACAGACTGTAAAATGCAATCAACTTTGCTCTCCAGCACTCACTAAGTACCTTGCTGCATCTATCACACTTGTCAATACTGGTTTATTAGCATACAAGTCTCTTCTGAAGCATAAATTGGACTTTGCTAGAGGCAACAGTTGCATGTGTTCTTTCTGAAGTAGTCCAGAAGCAAAAATCCAGAACTTGAAGCCATTTCTCAATTTAAATGTGCATTATTTGATGTTCCCTTATGAGACAAAACGTAGGAAGGATAACCGAGCAGAGCAACTTGCTTCACAGTTTGCATTTCTGACATTGTATTTGAATCAGATAGATTCAGCTGATTATGGACTTTCCTGATCTGTACTTATGACATAACAAATCTATTGTGTACTTGATAGGCATTTTTCCAAATTAATTTCTACAGATAAAAAGAAGACAGAAGAAAGACACTGCCTACAAATGAATCCAAGCTAAGTCATGGTGGGCTACAGTGTTCTGGAGCTTGCTACACT